CAAACCCATGACCTTCTTGATGTGAGGGGACAGTGATAACCACTGTATCATCGTGCCGCCCCCAATAATGTGAACAGTCAATAAAAAAAAAATTGGATCTGGGAAAACAATCAGAATTGAGCATTAAGATCCGCCGTGTGAACGTATCATAAATAACTGATTTTGCCTGCCTGTCTGCATGACTAAATTTGTCAATCTCCGTCTGCAGACCTACAAGCATACCTACCTCATGTGTGCCTGCCAGACCTGCAAAACACAAAGAAAAAACAACCCGGAGGATAAAAGGAATCTGGAGAAAGAATCTGGAGAGTATCCCCCCAAAATCCTGAGTCATTACATTGTCTTTATTCAAAATGAATAAATCAATTGTTAAAACTCACTGCCTGTTTCTGTCTGATTTTGGTTTCTGGTCTAAATCCCAGACAAATACAGTTCATATACACAGCAAAACAGACACAGACAAAAAGGAAAGCATGAATTTATTCAAAGAAACCTGAGCAACATCACTTCACTGAACTGGATCTGACTAAAACGCTGTGTCCACATCACAGGCCATGTCCTCTCTAACAAGACAGTGAGGGAAGAATTTTCTTGAATAGCAAATCCATCCTTGCACAGACTCTGTATCAACTTGGTTGCAGATCTCCTCCATGGCTTGAATGAGGAGTATCCTGACATAGGGCTGGAGATCATAAACCTACCACCGCCATGCAGACAAAAACTCCTCAAATGAGTTAAGGAAGGTAGAGTAAACTGGAGTGAAAATCATGGATGCAGATGAAGCCAGTTTTGGACCAGAGCAGATTGGTAGAATAATTATAATAATTTATATAGCACCTTTACCCAAGCTTAACAAAGAAAAGGAGAGTTATGTTCAGGGCCTGAAGGCGTTGCTGAAGAGGTGTGTTTTGAGACGCTCTTTGAACGTGCCGAAAGAAGGGGTAGTGCGCAATACATTGACGTGTTTGATCAGTTGCTTCATAGGTGTGGTATTTTGAAAGGCTGTGCCTTGAAATAGCAAATATGTGACATCATGTTAGATGTCTAATGAGATACGTGCGTACAGCAAAAAATGTGAGGCTGAGAATGTGTTCATAGTTGAGCAGATCTGAGGTTTTCCTCGAGAGTCTACTAACAATAACTGTGTTTTATTATTTTATTTATTATTTTAGTGTTTAAGCAATTGTAAAAACCTATAAAATATCCATTTTGTTACTGTTGCATGCTTCTGGTTTTAGAGCTATAACTACTGGATCTAAAAGTGATTTCAAACCTTAAAGCCAATCTTTCAGTATTAACAAAATAATTTGGGATTAGTGGTCGACCAATTTTTCAATGGCCAATGCTGATATTTATAGAGCAGGGGGCTAATGGCTGCTATATTATGCCGATATCAAAACAAAGAAAAATCATGTGTAATTTCATAATTCAATGCAGAGAACAATCTAATATTCATGGTTATTTTAGCCAATAATTTCTTGTTTTAGGTGGATCTTTTATTAATAAATTAAATAGAAAAATAAATTTGGTTACGCTGTAGATTTCAGATCGTGGCTGGTGTTTAAGGGAAAGCTGGGTGCATTTGTGTCAGAAGTGATGTCACTCAGCTGCATTATTCTCTACAGAATATCAATATATGATAGCCAGTAATGGTTTAAGATTAGATTAGCTGTAATATATGAAATGATATATTAACCTTGTGAGTGCAGGTAATCCGTCAAACTCTATCTCTATATATCATTCTCTTTCAACAAGGGTTGAAGTTCATGTATAACTTCTGTTTGGGTTTTTGACATCCAGAGACTACTGTTGGACAATGAATTAGGACTTGAGATTTCCCATAAAGCAAGTGCGTGTGAGAGATTGTGTGAGATTACTGATTGTTGGGCTGCTTGCAGTTCCCTTCACAAGACCAAAATATGTAGAAGTAGCTGTCTATGTTAAACTCCCAAAACACCTGAGATTGTCTTGCACCTTACAATCCTTTAAGTCATGTCTTAAAACATTCTTGCTCTCTGAGGCTTTTTAAACCTTTACAGTTGTATTTATCACAATTTATCTGACAAAGTTTTGTGGCTTAGTCTAATCCATTTTTCTTTTAATCTCATTGTTTTAACTGTTTAATATAACTTTATTATTATTTTATTTATTTTATTGTATTTCAATGTCTCTCTTTTTTTTGTTTTATTTGTATTCACTTTCTCACATTTTTTTAATCTTTAATTTTAATATCTATCGCTCATTAATTATCTACCTTCATACTATGAAGTACCTTTGTATCTGGTTTTGTATCATTGCGTCTGTAAAGCAATGACTCTAGTGTTTGGAAGGTGCTATATACAGTAAATAGACTTGCCTTGCCTTGTTGAATATTTATTTATACAGTGAACGGATGAAGGAATTTTGACGACAGCAAGTGGGGTGGAGGACCAATTAGGAAAAACACATGAGGCAGTGGAGCATTTAAACACAAGCAGGCAGGCTGACGCACAGGTGACCAAGATGGGGAAATCAGACAGAGAGGTCACAGGGCTTGAACTAACGCCAGAAAAGTCTGAAATAAACAGGGGTGTGTTTCCCGCACAACCACGGAAGGTAGCATTGAACTATGTTGGTACGATGCATCATAAACTAACAAACATCTGAAGTACGACAGTTCGTCAGTTGTGAATGATGTTAAGTAACATTATTATGCTAACTTATTATTTAGGCTTTTCATATTATAGTCGTACAAATCAACAATTGTATAAATGAAATCGACAATATAAATAATATATAACCTAATAATTTTATGTAGACTAAATATAGGCTATAACTTAGAAGAAAAAATGAAGAACTATTAGCGATTACAAGACAGTTAGTAAAATAGGTTTAATCTGCAAGTATCTTCATTCAACACTATTATGAATCCTTTGGCCGCAAATGCATTCAAGCTCTTGAGAATAGTCCAGTGTGATAAGTAGCTGAGCTTGTGAAAGTTCTCTGGTCAGACAGACGTGGGTTTGAATCCCATGAGTTCTATTATCTTTGTTATGATGGCAACCAAAGTTGTCAGGGATTTATTCATTACAGTAGTTTCATGAATTTTATGCTATCTTTTTTTGTATTTATGTTTGTAATGAAGACTAGAGAACACCCATCATCCTTAGGCCTAGAAATGGATAATGACTAATATTAAATTAATTTATTGTGAACAGATGGGTAATCGGTGAGAAAAACATCTGCTGTTTGTAGAGGGTCCACACTAAGATACTAAGTACTGAATTAATGCAACCTTACCCATGACCCGACAAATACATTTAAAAGTATTTTACAACTACATAAAAAAAACAACTTCACCTTAAATAGTTTGGAGAGCAGGATTATCTAACACTCCCTGCTCACATTTATTACATCCACCTCCTAACACTGCATTTTCTGCTATCTGTGACGTAGTCACCGTGAACTAGACTTCTAACCACAGGTCAGGAGCTTTAGTTCGAACTGTGCAACTTAACGACAGTACTCACAAACGTTCGTCAGAACTATGGTTTCGGGGAACACCTGTCAAATTGTGACACAAATCTTGTGAACAGGAAAAAGACATTTCTTCTCTAACCAGTAAAAGATCATAACAGAATTACGGAACAGTCTTTTCCAAGCAGGTGGCTTCAAAGTCCTTTTAATTGTGAGACAAAACAAATTCAGCAAAAATTCAAAAGATGAATCTCCACTAATGTCATCATTGTTGACCTCCACAAGATCCAATATATGATCACCAATTAGGGTTAACACTTTACTGACCAACTTGACATTTAGATTCCCAATCACCGGCCGCTTTAGCATCAGGCAATTAGGAATCCTGAAAACCAAATTAGAAGAGAACAGGATGCAAACATCAGGGACAGAGTCACTAAACACTTCATTAGCACCAGCACCACAGCTACCACCCACGCAGCCCACAGGGAGAATTCCCCCAGACCCCCAGACCCTGGGTGAAGGCATGGGAGAGGCAATGGGGGGACAACCCCATTCTCCCCCACCGTAAAGATCTTTACTGTCTTTCAAAACTGTCTTCTGTATTTTCTGGTACTTAGAAATTCTGCTTTACAAGCACAGTCAACACCGATCACAGATAGGGCAGCGGAAGTCCATTACATTCAATCAGGTTTTACAACGAAGGCTTTGTCATTTTCTGTCACAGATTTTTGAAACTCGTCATCAGTTTAAAATCTTTAAATTTAAGTCTATTAGCAAGCATGTATGTGCAAGTGATGAATTACATTTTGGCTGAGGCTGCTTTCATATAAGTTTTTTTTAATCAAACTACGATTTCTAAGGTCAACAATTAACCCTCAACTTTGCACGCACTGATCTGCGTTTGATGTTGTTCAAGAGATTATACTATACTATACTGATCTGAGATGTTTTGTGGCCACTCCCTATTCCCAAAAACTTCAAGTCAGTTTTTCAGCCAAGTGAACAGGTTGGGTTTTTATTTGATGAAGGGAAGACAAAACTAGCATTCTCTTTTTGGCTGTACATGAAGTGATTACCTGCAGATTTTAAGGCATACATCAAAAATATTACAATGACTCATGATTTGGGTCATTGTGATAGAACAGTAGTAACAAAGAAAGGTCAGTGAAGCTAATAAACCCAAACTAACAGTCACTCAGTTAAAATGTCCTGTCAGCAATGTTATGACCTGGCTCAAAAGGCCACAACAAAAGGGAGACACACTGCAGTAAATGTTTCAGAAAACATATTTACGTACCTTGAAATAAGCCGAATTAAGAATTAGGCAAATTCAAATGATTAAAGTATGGGATATGGATATCAGTGGTTTTCAGTGGTGTCCACACAGGATTATGGCTGTATGACTAAGTGTGTGTAAAGGTGTCATAATGTGCGAGAAACAAGGTAAACACAACAAACCACAAACACCACAAACCAAAACAAAGGTGAAGCCTGCGGAGAGAAACAGAGATATCAGTTTGCAGGAATGTCTGTGTCCTCAGCCCAACTACAGCTTTCTAATGAATGAGAACAAGGAGTTCCACATACGCTACAGGGCAATGGGCCAGGGGGTTAATGAAATCCGCCTCTTTACCTGCAACGAAAAGACAGAGAGCGCCACACCCACACATAACCCTGCAGTAAAATCTCACAATACATATTAAGCCATTGCTAAATTCATATTGGTTGCGTTTGTGGAATCAGTGAAACAAAAGCATAGAAAGAGGGAGGAATTAGAATGTTCACAGCAGCTACCATTACTCATGCTGTAGCATACCTGCACATATTTACTGCCTTTGTTTTCAGTCTGATGTCATTTCAGACATGCTATAAATCAGGAGCTGAAACGATAGAGATCACAACTTCATGAACAGCAGTGGATGACATTTAACAAGCAAATTTTAAACTGTAAGTACTTTTTTTATGTTATTATATTACTCTGCTATGAAGCGATGCCAATCTTGATAGAGGTTTTAATTCACAATATAGTATTTTATAAAGTATACTATGAAACAGAAAATCTATTATTCTATCATTTCATTGCATTCCAGTTACTTTTGACAGCTTTTAATCATTTAAAAAATATTTTTCATACAGTTTGATATGAAGCACTTTGATTTGCATTTACTGATCAGAAACTACCCTGAAAAGGTACCCAGTGTATTAAAAAAGATCTTGACCAAGTGTCCATATGTGACGAGTTCAGAGTGAGAATTTGTAGGCTGCAGTATTCTAGATCGCATGGAAAGGCTTAAAAGATTTATTTAAACAGCCTGACAATAAGGAACTGCAATAATCTGCTATAAGTAACACAGGTGTAAACTCTTTTTTCTGCATCATTTTGAGACGTTAGCAGGTGACAAAATGCAGTCCTTGAAGTTTATTTTATGAGGGAGTGAAGGGATGAAAGAATATTCCAAGGTTCTTTACGGTGGTGCTGGAGGCCAAGGAATCTCTGAGGTGTTTGGGGCCAAGTATAATAAATTTAGTTTAACTGTTGAAAACTTACAGCTCGTCGGGGTTATTATCTCCTTTAGGCATGCTTGAAGTTTAAATAGTTTAGAAGTTTTAATACAAATTGATATGAAGATCTTTGAGCTGTATTGGATGTATGAAAAGTGCAATACAAATACAGTTTGTTATTATACTACAGTATTATTTAAAGATTACTTTTAATTACACATGTATATTATATATATTGATATATATCAATATTGCATATATATGTATAATATGTTTATATATATATATATTAATTTATATATTTATATTTATACATTATGTTATGTATACATAATAACATGAACACATCTCAGAAATCTGTCGGGATAGTAAGAGATTAAGGAGAAGCCTGGGTTGAGAAACTTATTTTGATTAATATATATAAAGCTGATATAGAAATATTTACGAATGACATTGAGTAATAAATCAAATTAACAGTCAAAGAATTATAAGAGTCAATAGTCATTCCTAACCTATTATCTTGAAGGGCAGAACCAGGAGAGGTTGGAGGTATTTTAATTGTTGTGTTTAATTAAAAAACCGTTTCAGAAGCTTTGAGTTCTAAAGTGAAAATTGTGTGAAAGACAGATGTGCTGAAAATATGACCAAAAATGTGACAAAATTAAAGTTGAGTCAGCTTTATCTCCTCTGTTTAAAATGTAAATAACCATTTTCAGTGTTTCATTTACTTTTTGAAAATAAACTATTTTATATTTCAGTGAAGAAGAAGAAGAAGAAGAAGAAGTGAGCAGAGGAGAGAAATTATAACGGCATCACCATGTTCACAAAGATTTGTGTACTCCTTCTGCTGTTTGTTGGTAAGAGTAACTTTCGTTCAAAATAAAGTTTTTAAATTTAGGATAAAATCTGAAAGTGATCGGAAAATTTTTGCTTTAAGCAGCCTCAGGCAACGCACAGGACATAACCGCCACGACTACAGCTCCACCAACGACTACTGCTGAACCAGCCATAACAACCACCACGTCTGAAACAACAACAACAGAAACAACTACAACCACCACGGCTGCACCCATAACAACTACAACTGAAGCCACAACCACCACGGCTGCACCCACAACAACAACAACTGAAGCTACAACCACCACGGCTGAACCCACAACAACAACAACTGAACCCACAACCACCACGGCTGCACCCACAACAACAACAACTGAACCCACAACCACCACGGCTGCACCCACAACAACAACAACTGAATCCACAACCACCACGGATGCACTCACAACAACAACCACCACGGCTGCACCCACAACAACAACTGAATCCACAACCACCACGGCTGCACCCACAACAACAACAACTGAACCCACAACCACCACGGCTGCACCCACAACAACAACAACTGAACCCACAACCACCACGGCTACACCCACAACAACAACAACTGAACCCACAACCACCACGGATGCACCCACAACAACAACAACTGAACCCACAACCACCACGGCTGCACCAACAACAACAACAACTGAACCCACAACCACCACAACTGAACCCACAACCACCACGGCTGCACCAACAACAACAACAACTGAACCCACAACCACCACGGCTGCACCCACAACAACAACAACTGAACCCACAACCACCACGGCTGCACCCACAACAACAACAACTGAACCCACAACCACCACGGCTGCACCCACAACAACAACAAATGAACCCACAACCACCACGGCTGCACCAACAACAACAACAACTGAATCCACAACCACCACGGATGCACCCACAACAACAACAACTGAAGCCACAACCACCACGGCTGTACCCACAACAACAACAACTGAATCCACAACCACCACGGCTGAACCTACAACAACAACAACTGAACCCACAACCACCACGGCTGTACCCACAACAACAACAACTGAATCCACAACCACCACGGCTGCACCCACAACAACAACAACTGAACCCACAACCACCACGGCTGTACCCACAACAACAACTGAATCCACAATCACCACGGCTGCACCCACAACAACAACAACTGAACCCACAACAACTACAACTGAAGCCACAACCACCACGGCTGCACCCACAACAACAAACACTGAAGCTACAACCACCACGGCTGAACCCACAACAACAACAACTGAACCCACAACCACCACGGCTGCACCCACAACAACAACAACTGAACCCACAACCACCACGGCTGCATCCACAACAACAACAACTGAACCCACAACAACTACAACTGAAGCCACAACCACCACGGCTGCACCCACAACAACAACAACTGAAGCTACAACCACCACGGCTGAACCCACAACAACAACAACTGAACCCACAACCACCACGGCTGCACCCACAACAACAACAACTGAACCCACAACCACCACGGCTGCATCCACAACAACAACAACTGAACCCACAACCACCACGGCTGCACCCACAACAACAACAACTGAACCCACAACCACCACGGCTGCACCCACAACAACAACAACTGAACCCACAACCACCACGGCTGCACCCACAACAACAACAACTGAACCCACAACCACCACGGCTACACCCACAACAACAACAACTGAACCCACAACCACCACGGATGCACCCACAACAACAACCACCACGGATGCACCCACAACAACAACAACTGAACCCACAACCACCACGGCTGCACCAACAACAACAACAACTGAACCCACAACCACCACGGCTGCACCCACAACAACAACAACTGAAGCCACAACCACCACGGCTGCACCCACAACAACAACAACTGAAGCCACAACCACCACGGCTGCACCCACAACAACAACAACTGAAGCCACAACCACCACGGCTGCACCCACAACAACAACAACTGAACCCACAACCACCACGGCTGCACCCACAACAACAACAAATGAACCCACAACCACCACGGCTGCACCAACAACAACAACAACTGAATCCACAACCACCACGGATGCACCCACAACAACAACAACTGAAGCCACAACCACCATGGCTGTACCCACAACAACAACAACTGAATCCACAACCACCACGGCTGAACCTACAACAACAACAACTGAACCCACAACCACCACGGCTGTACCCACAACAACAACAACTGAATCCACAATCACCACGGCTGCACCCACAACAACAACAACTGAACCCACAACAACAACAGCTGAACCCACAACCACCACGTCTGCACCCACAACAACAACAACTGAACCCACAACCACCACGTCTGCACCCACAACAACAACAACTGAACCCACAACCACCACGGCTGCACCCACAACAACAACCACCACGGCTGCAACCACAACAACAACTGAACCCACAACCACCACGGATGCACCCACAACAACAACCACCACGGCTGCACCCACAACAACAACTGAACCCACAACCACCACGGCTGCACCCACAACAACAACAACTGAACCCGCAACCACCACGGATGCACTCACAACAACCACCACGGCTGCACCCACAACAACAACAACTGAACCAACAACCACGGCTGCACCCACAACAACAACAGCTGAACCCACAACCACCGCGGCTGCACCCACAACAACAACAACTGAACCCACAACCACCACGGCTGCACCAACAACAACAACAACTGAACCCACAACCACCACGGCTGCACCCACAACAACAACAACTGAACCCACAACAACAACAAGCGAACCCACAACCACCACGGCTGCACCCACAACAACAACAACTGAACCCACAACAACAACAACTGAACCCACAACCACCACGGCTGCACCCACAACAACAACAACTGAACCCACAACCACCACGGATGCACCCACAACAACAACAACTGAATCCACAACCACCACGGCTGCACCCACAACAACAACAACTGAACCCACAACCACCACTGCTGCACCAACAACAACAACAACTGAACCCACAACCACCACGGCTGTACCCACAACAACAACAACTGAATCCACAATCACCACGGCTGCACCCACAACCACCATGGCTGCACCCACAACAACAACAACTGAACCCACAACCACCACGGCTGTACCCACAACAACAACAACTGAATCCACAATCACCACGGCTGCACCCACAACAACAACAACTGAACCCACAACAACAACAACTGAACCCACAACCACCACATCTGCACCCACAACAACAACAACTGAACCCACAACCACCACGTCTGCACCCACAACAACAACAACTGAACCCACAACCACCACGGCTGCACCCACAACAACAACCACCACGGCTGCAACCACAACAACAACTGAACCCACAACCACCACGGATGCACCCACAACAACAACCACCACGGCTGCACCCACAACAACAACTGAACCCACAACCACCACGGCTGCACCCACAACAACAACAACTGAATCCACAACCACCACGGCTGCACCCACAACAACAACAACTGAACCCACAACAACAACAAGCGAACCCATAACCACCACGGCTGCACCCACAACAACAACAACTGAACCCACAACCACCACGGCTGCACCCACAACAACAACAACTGAATCCACAACCACCACGGCTGCACCCACAACAACAACAACTGAACCCACAACAACAACAAGCGAACCCATAACCACCACGGCTGCACCCACAACAACAACAACTGAACCCATAACCACCACGGCTGCACCCACAACAACAACAACTGAACCCACAACCACCACGGCTTCACCCACAACAACAACAACTGAACCCACAACCACCACGGCTGCACCCACAACAACAACAACTGAACCCACAACCACCACGGCTGCACCCACAACAACAACAACAACTGAACCCACAACCACCACGGCTGCACCAACAACAACAACAACTGAACCCACAACCACCACGGCTGTACCCACAACAACAACAACTGAATCCACAATCACCACGGCTGCACCCACAACCACCATGGCTGCACCCACAACAACAACAACTGACTCCACAATCACCACGGCTGCACCCACAACAACAACAACTGAACCCACAACAACAACAACTGAACCCACAACCACCACGTCTGCACCCACAACAACAACAACTGAACCCACAACCACCACGGCTGCACCCACAACAACAACAGCTGAACCCACAACCACCGCGGCTGCACCCACAACAACAACAACTGAACCCACAACCACCACGGCTGCACCAACAACAACAACAACTGAACCCACAACCACCACGGATGCACCCACAACAACAACAACTGAACCCACAACCACCACGGCTGCACCCACAACAACAACAACTGAACCCACAACCACCACGGCTGCATCGACAACAACTACAACTGAACCCACAACCACCACGGCTGCACCCACAACAACTGAACCCACAACCACCACGGCTGCACCCACAACAACAACAACTGAACCCACAACCACCACGGATGCACCCACAACAACAACAACTGAACGCACAACCACCACGGCTGCACCCACAACAACAACAACTGAACCCACAACCACCACGGCTGCACCCACAACAACAACCACCACAGTTGCACCAACAACAACAACAGCTGCGCCCACAACCACTACGGCTGCACCAACAACAACAACAACTGAACCCACAACCACCACGGCTGCACCCACAACCACAACGGCTGAGCCCACAACAACAACAACTGAACCCACAACCACCACGGCTGCATCCACAACAACCACAACTGAACCCACAACCACCACGGCTGCACCCACGACAACAACAACTGAACCCACAACCACCACGGCTGCACCCACAACAACAACCACCACAGTTGCACCAACAACAACAACAGCTGCGCCCACAACCACTACGGCTGCACCAACAACAACAACAACTGAACCCACAATCATCATGGCTGCACCCACAACCACAACGGCTGAGCCCACAACAACAACAACTGAACCCACAACCACCACGGCTGCATCCACAACAACCACAACTGAACCCACAACCACCACGGCTGCACCCACGACAACAACAACTGAACCCACAACCACCACGGCTGCACCCACAACAACAACCACCACAGTTGCACCAACAACAACAACAGCTGCGCCCACAACCACAACGGCTGAGCCCACAACAACAACAACTGAACCCACAACCACCACGGCTGCACCCACAACAACAACAGCTGCGCCCACAACCACTACGGCTGCACCAACAACAACAACTACTGAACCCACAACCACCAAGGCTGCACCCACAACCACAACGGCTGAGCCCACAACAACAACAACTGAACCCACAACCACCACGGCTGCATCGACAACAACAACAACTGAACCCACAACCACCACGGCTGCACCTACAACCACAACGGCTGAGCCCACAACAACAACAACTGAACCCACAACCACCACGGCTGCATCGACAACAACTACAACTGAACCCACAACCACCACGGCTGCACCCACAACAACTGAACCCACAACCACCACGGCTGCACCCACAACAACAACAACTGAACCCACAACCACCACGGCTGCACCCACAACAACAACAACAACTGAACCCACAACCACCACGGATGCACCCACAACAACAACAACTGAACGCACAACCACCACGGCTGCACCCACAACAACAACAACTGAACCCACAACCACCACTGCTGTACCCACAACCACCACAACTGAACCCACAACCACCACGGCTGCACCCACAACAACAACCACCACGGCTGCAACAACCACAACAACTGAACCCACAATCATCATGGCTGCACCCACAACCACAACGGCTGAGCCCACAACAACAACAACTGAACCCACAACCACCACGGCTGCACCCACAACAACAACTGAAGCTACAACCACCACGGCTGAACCCACAACAACAACAACTGAACCCACAACCACCACGGCTGCACCCACAACAACAACCACCACAGTTGCACCAACAACAACAACAGCTGCGCCCACAACCACTACGGCTGCACCAACAACCACAACCACCACGGTTGCACCTACATCCATGACAACTGAACCCACAACCACCACCTCTGCACCCACAACAACAACCACCACAGTTGCACCAACAACAACAACAACAACTGAACCCACAACCACCACGGATGCACTCACAACAACAACAACCACGGCTGGACCCACAACAACAACAGCTGCGCCCACAACCACTACGGCTGCACCAACAACCACAACCACCACGGTTGCACCTACATCCATGACAACTGAACCCACAACCACCACGGCTGCACCCACAACAACAACAACTGAACCCACAACCACCACGGATGCAACCACAAAAACAACCACCACGGCTGCACCCACAACAACAACAACTGAACCCACAACCACCACGGCTGCACCCACAACAACAACAACTGAACCCACAACCACTACGGCTGCACCAACAACCACAACCACCACGGCTGCACCCACAACAACAACAACTGAACCCACAACCACCACGGCTGCACCCACAACAACTGAACCCACAACCACCACGGATGCACCCACACCAACAATAACTGAATCCACAACAACCACGGCTGCACCCACAACAACAACAACTGAACCCACAACCACCACGGATGCACCCACAACAACAACCACCACATCTGCACCCACAACAACAACAACTGAAGCCACAACCACCAAGGCTGCACCAACAACAACAACAACTGAACCCACAACCACCACGGATGCACCCACAACAACAACAAGTGAACCCACAACCACCACGGCTGCACCCACAACAACAACAACTGAACCCACAACCACCACGGCTGCACCCACAACAACAACCACCACGGCTGCACCCACAACAACAACAACTGAATCCACAACCACCACGACTGCACCCACAACAACAACAACTGAACCCACAACCACCACGGCTGCACCCACAACAACAACAACTGAACCCACAACCACCACGGCTGAGCCCACAACAACAACAACTGAAGCCACAACCACCACGGCTGCATCCACAACAACTACAACTGAACCCACAACCACCACGGATGCACCCACAACAACAACAACTGAACCCACAACCACCACGGATGCACCCACAACAACAACAACTGAACCCACAACCACCACGGCTGCACCCACAACAACAACAACTGAACCCACAACCACCACTGCTGTACCCACAACAACAACAACTGAACCCACAACCACCACGGCTGCACCCACAACAACAACCACCACGGCTGCAACAACCACAACAACTGAACCCACAATCATCATGGCTGCACCCACAACCACAACGGCTGAGCCCACAACAACAACAACTGAACCCACAACCACCACGGCTGCACCCACAACAACAACAACTGAACCCACAACCACCACGGCTGCACCCACAACAACTGAACCCACAACCACCACGGATGCACCCACACCAACAATAACTGAATCCACAACAACCACGGCTGCACCCACAACAACAACAACTGAACCCACAACCACCACGGATGCACCCACAACAACAACCACCACATCTGCACCCACAACAACAACAACTGAAGCCACAACCACCAAGGCTGCACCAACAACAACAACAACTGAACCCACAACCACCACGGATGCACCCACAACAACAACAAGTGAACCCACATCCACCACGGCTGCACCCACAACAACAACAACTGAACCCACAACCACCACGGATGCACCCACAACAACAACCACCACGGCTGCACCCACAACAACAACAACTGAATCCACAACCACCACGACTGCACCCACAACAACAACAACTGAACCCACAACCACCACGGCTGCACCCACAACAACAACAACTGAACCCACAACCACCACGGCTGAGCCCACAACAACAACAACTGAAGCCACAACCACCACGGCTGCATCCACAACAACAACAACTGAACCCACAACCACCACGGATGCACCCACAACAACAACAACTGAACCCACAACCACCACGGCTGCACCCACAACAACAACAACTGAACCCACAACCACCACGGCTGTACCCACAACAACAACAACTGAACCCACAACCACCACGGCTGCACCCACAACAACAACCACCACGGCTGCAACAACCACAACAACTGAACCCACAATCATTATGGCTGCACCCACAACCACAACGGCTGAGCCCACAACAACAACAACTGAACCCACAACCACCACGGCTGCATCCACAACAACCACAACTGAACCCACAACCACCACAGTTGCACCAACAACAACAACAGCTGCGCCCACAACCACTAAGGCTGCACCAACAACCACAACCACCACGGTTGCACCTACATCCATGACAACTGAACCCACAACCACCACGGCTGAGCCCACAACAACAACAACTGAAGCCACAACCACCACGGCTGCATCCACAACAACAACAACTGAACCCACAACCACCACGGATGCACCCACAACAACAACAACTGAACCCACAACCACCACTGCTGTACCCACAACAACAACAACTGAACCCACAACCACCACGGCTGCACCCACAACAACAACCACCACGGCTGCAACAACCACAACAACTGAACCCACAATCATCATGGCTGCACCCACAACCACAACGGCTGAGCCCACAACAACAACAACTGAACCCACAACCACCACGGCTGCACCCACAACAACAACAACTGAACCCACAACCACCACGGCTGCACCCACAACAACAACCACCACAGTTGCACCAACAACAACAACAGCTGCGCCCACAACCACTACGGCTGCACCAACAACCACAACCACCACGGCTGCACCTCCATCCATGACAACTGAACCCACAACCACCACGGCTGCACCCACAACAACAACCACCACGGCTGCACCCACAACATCAATCACCACGGCAGCACCAACAACATCAACAACTGAATCCACAACCACCACGGCTGCACCCACAACAACAACCACCACAGCTGCACCACCAACAACAACAACGACATCTGAACCCACAAACACCACGGCTGCACCCACAACAACAACAACTGAATCCACAACCACCACGGCAGCACCCACAACAACAACCACCACGTCTGCACCCACAACCACTACGGTTGCACCAACAACCACAGCCACCACGGCTGCACCCACATCCATAACAACTGAACCCATAACCACCACGTCTGCACCCACAACAACAACCACCACAGCTGCACTTACAACTACCACAGCTGCACCAGCAATTACAACAACCACAGCTGCACCCATAACCACAACAACCACTACCGCACCCACAGCCACAACAACCACTTCTGCACCCACAGTCACAAAAACCGCGACGACCCCCACAGTCACAACAACCACTACTGCACCCACAGTCACAAAACCCACGGCTGCACCCACAGCCACAACTACCACTACTGCACCCACAGTCACAAAACCCATGGTTGCACCCACAGCCACAACTACCACTACTGCACCCACAGTCACAAAACCCATGGCTGCACCCACAGCCACAACTACCACTACTGCACCCACAGTCACAAAAACCACGGCGACCCCCACAGTCACAACAACCACTACTGCACCCACAGTCACAAAACCCACGGCTGCACCCACAGCTACAACTACCACTGCTGCACCCGCAGCCACCAAACCTACGGCTGCATCCACATCTACCACGACAGCACACACAGCTACCACCTCTTCCGCCCTCATTAACAATATAAGCTTCTTTTCAGTTGTTGTGGTTGTGATGACACATGTACTTCAATGATATTTTTAAGTGTGTTTCTTATCCTGTAAATTATGTTATTTAAACTAAAGTATGAAAAAATTGTATATGCCATGAAGATAACATGCTAATTTATATTCTTGTTTGTGTGTTGATGTTGGGTGGTGTGTGTTTGTACTAAACATCTGTGATGGAAGGACTCTGTAATGTTCTGGCCAATGAGTGAATCTGTTTTTTGTCTGTAATTGCATAATTAATAAATTAAAGGTTTTGCAAAGTAATTCTCTGTTTTTACTTATTACTTTAATATTTGCAAAATGCGCACAGCGTCTCTCTTAAGTGTTAGGTCACACCAATAATATGAGGCCTTAAATGTCCCCACCACTTTTCAACACAAAGTGAGGCCCCCCTGTGTAATCAGCTGCATACACATGGTCCTTAAGCCTTTATTTAAGTTTAGCTTGTTATCAATGGTTTTTATTCAAATGGGCCATGGACTAAATATAATAATACTTACAATACTAATAATATACTGTTGCTAGGTGGTTTATTAGAGGCTGGTCCTGTTTGTACACGCATTAGCAGGGCGCCCGTGATAGAGTATACAGTGGACTGTTACGAAGGGCCGGTCTGGATCCAAGTCCAGGGCCATTTTTTACTCCCAGTCCATGAGGAAATTCCAGTGTGGTAAAAGATGAATGAGCAACGCTGTATAGTAGCCTAATAATGTTAAAGTATTGATCGTTCCTGCACTCCTGTGTTTTAGAGTCTATCATGGTCAGCGTTGGCACGCATTCATATTTCTGGCTCCACCCAATTAAAATGGAGGCTCTGCCTTTATTTACCCATTGCCATGGTGAATCGTAGTATTGGAGCTCCATTGTCGCGCTTCCATCAGGCTCGACATACTCAGAGTTGATTTAACTAATTCTGATCAGCTGTTCTGAAACCAAAAACTCAGAGTTTCCCACCTCAGACTCAATCAACCCACAGCTCAGCGCTAAGCTCAGAGTTTGTTAAGCCTGCTATCTGAAACAGGGCCCTGGTTGGACTCTCCGAAACGGCACATGGCTAATGTTGTCAAATGTTGCAAACTTCGCAATTTGGTGAAGTTTGGACACCAAAACTAGCTTGTTAGCTTTAGGAAAATATGATGGTTTGCGTTGAATATAACATAACTTTTACGTATAAATGAACATCTATTATATTCAAGCCCTTGCCTGTATGCCCTGTATTAGCAGGTACATCTCAAAAGTGGAAAAGTAATTTTTATAAAATTTAATTCAAAAAGTGAAACTTTCATATATTCTAGATTTATTACACGTAAAGTTAAATATTTAAAGGCTTATTTGTATTAATCTTGAGGATTACGGCATACAGCTCATGAAAATCCGAAACTGAGTATTTATAAATATGATTTTATAGATTATAGAATTTATGATACATGAACTTCAGGTGAACTTTTCCACAGTATTGTCACAACACTGTCAGAGGGGGGAGACACAGATTTGGAAACCAGTCGTGTACAGACACTGAGACATCTTGGGGTCAAACTGAAAAATATTCATAGATTCTGGAATATTCAATGAGAGAGAATGAGTAGATCTTTCTTTTTAAATTTCTAACAAGGAAATTGAACAGTTTTGTTTTTTTTTAAACCCCAAAAAACCAAAGCAAAAAACAAAACTGTGTCATACAACAAATTGCATTCAAAGAAGATCTTAAAACATCGGAAGGGGATTTTTAACTTACAGCCACGACAACAATGTAACAATGTGAAAGGGGTCCCTCACAATGATGACCTTATAGAGCACATTATCACCGGAATCTGCACCTTGGCTTTACAGATTTTTATCCAAACGTGCTGTGTTCTAATACACTTCTAATAAAATAATGAATGAGAATTCCTGCTTGTTGTTAAAGTGATGTCATTAATGTGTTTCAATGTAAATGAAGAGTCAAAGGTCACATTCGAATTATTGATACTGCCATCAAGGATGAGGGTGGACAAATTTGATGTGTGTGCACAGGTTGTTTCTGCAAAATAAGAGGGAATAAAATCCAAGTATCACAGGATTTCTCTGAACTTGTCATGTTGCTATTTTAAGAACACACCAGTTTCAACATTCCAGTGTCCTCTCTATGTTCTGTAAAGTGATGTTAAACATGTGGTCAATGTTGTGAAATAGTCACAGTTTGGTTAGATTAAGGCAACACAAAATTACTTAGTTAGGTTTCCTTGGTCTCCTGGGTGAAATTCCTGTGTTTGTTCATCCATACCACAACTTCTAATACAGAATTTCTTGCTGTTTTCTAATCACCTGACCTCCTCCTTTGCTCCTCTCATAAAAACTATGGCAACAAGACACCTAACAATAAAGATAAAAAAGCTGCTTCCATAGTCAAACAATTAGGCACAAAAAGATCACAAAGACTGACCCCACCCAAAGTCACTCTTTAGACACAGATTCCCTAAAAATATGACTAGTATGTGCGATGCCACCACTTGATACACCACGTGACTTAGTACTTGGCACCAGACCGGTTTTGGCAGTCGCTGACTATCGACATATTTTGATGTTTAGGTATGAGAACATGTTGCCTGAAGATGAACTAATTTTATTTAATTGTAATTTGTAGTTAGACAAATTGCCCAATTAGCATTTTGTCTTCAGTGATAGAAAAAGTAATTGCAGCTGTGGTCGTTGTGCATGTAGGTGTGGCCTTGGTTGTTTTGGCTGTGGCGCCAGCCGTAGCGGTTTTGGTTGTTGGTGCAGCCATGAATGGTTTGAATGGAAGTGCGACAATGGTATTTGTGGCTATGTGTGCTATGGAGGTTGCGGCTGTGGGTGAAGCCGTGGTGTGTGTGGCTGTAGTGATGGAAGCTGTGGTGTTTTTGGTTGTGGGTGCACCTGTGGTGGTAATGGCTTTGGCTGAAGCTGTGGCTGTAGTGGCTGAAGCTGTGGGAATTTTGGTTGTGGGTGCAGCTGTGGTTGTCAGTGAAGTAGTGGTGGTTGTTATGGATGCAGATGTGGATGTTGAGGTTGTGCGTGTAGCCGTGGTTGTTAGTTCAGCTGTTGTGGTTGTAGTTGTGGATTCAGTGGTGGTGGTTGTGGTTGTTGGTGTAGCTTTTGTGGTTGTAGTTGGAGGTGTAGCTGTAGTGGTTGTAGTTTGAGCCATGGTGGTTGTTGCGGTTGCTGTTGCAGCTGTGGTAGTAGCAGTTGTTGGTGCATCTGTGGTTTCTGTGGTTGTTGGAGCAGCCTTTGGGGTTGCGCTTCTTGGTGCAGCCCTGGTGGTTGAGGCTGCAGCCGTGGTGGTTACAGTTGTAGCTGCAACTGTGGTTGTCTGTGCAGACTTTCTTGCTGATTTATAATTACCTGACTTCCTCCTGTGCTCCCCTCATAATAACTACGGCAACAAGACACCTAACAATAAAGATAAAAAAGCTGCTTCCATAGTCAAACAATTACGCACAAAAAGATCGCAAAGACTGACCCCACCCAAAGCCAATCTTAATACACAGATTCCCTTTAAAATATGACTAGTATGTGCGAAGTCACCACTTGAAACAACACGTGACTTAATACTTGGCACCAGACCAGGTGCTTTCCAACAGTCATATGTGGTTTTGGCAGTCGCTGACAATTGATCTATTTTGATGTTTAGGTATGAGAACAGAAGAAATTACCCAGTTAGCATTTTGTCTTCAATGATAGAAAAAGTACTTATAGGTTGGGGCTGTGTAGGACAGGATAAGATAGAGGAAGAGGAGTTTTTGTAACCCCCCATGCTACACTAAAAGAAACTGTATAAAAATGGCAAGCAAAATAAATTATAGAACAAATTTATAAACAGAACAATATACAATGACAACACTTGATTAATAATACAACTTGAATCAGATTCAATGTTAAAAATAGTTAATATTGGAACAGCGAATGGTCTAAAATAATAGCCACATTATGGTAGTCAGGGGTGTAAAATATGACTGATGATTTCCCTCTCTTTTTATTATCCTGGTAGTTTTTTCTTGGTTTTTTTTTACCTTCTCGCTCTGTTTACTTTCCCCTCAAATCAGTTCCTGTGTAGCACACAGTCTTTGCTAAACTAGTATTTCCAAGGTCAAGCATTGATGATTACAGCATGTCACTCCTGAAAGAACATATAAATTTCTTGTCCTCTTACAAAAGAAAAGTTGAATGAAAAGTCCTGCTCAATTCAACACACTCAGAGGCTTTGCTGCCTTACTTTGCCCTGTATGACTAGGTGCCATGACCTGTTAACAAATATTATTAGTGAAAACTTAAATAAAAAATAACTTGCAAAACCTTTAATGCAGATTTTTTTTTTTAAATAATGCAAATAACAGACAAAAAGCATATTCACTCACTTCCCAGAACATTACAGAGTCCTCCCATCACAGATGATGTTCAATTAAAGACACCTCCTATAGGGACACATGTGATTACATATAAGAGATTAACAATACATGTACACACTACCCTACATCCACACACAGCCAAGAAAATAAATATAGATAAGCAATTTACCATATTTACAACGGAACTGATAAAATCTTCAAATTTTAAATTGTATCACTTGATTTACAGGATAAGAAGTGCACTTAACACCTTCAGTGAAGTACATGTGTCATCACAGCCACAACAACTAAAATGAGACTGATATTGTTAATAAAGGCGGAGGAGGTGACAGTGGTTGTGGCTTTAGTCGGGGTGGTTTTGGTTGTTGGTGCAGCCGTGGTTATTGTGCATGTAGGTGTGGCCTTGGTTGTTGTGGCTGTGGCGCCAGCCGTAGTGGTTTTGGTTTTTGGTGCAGCCGTGGATGGTTTGAATGTAAGTACGGCAATAGTTTTTGTGGCTATGGGTGCTATGGAGGTTGCGGCTGTGGGTGCAGCCGTGGTTGTTGTGGCTGTGGGTGCAACAGTGGCGGTTGTTGTGATTGTGGGTACAGCGGTAGTGGTTGTTAT